TATTTTACCTAGAACGCCAGACTCAAGTCCTTTCTTCCCGAGACTCCACTACATTTCCCAGAATCCTCCTTGTCTCCTAGTCCCACCTAACTTGCTTTCCTAGAGGTCAACAGGGCTTTATTCATTAACCAATAAGGCAGCATATTTACATAATGACATCTCCCATCAGGAGAAGCCTAAGCTAAGGCCAACCATTCATAATTAATGATTAGTTTCTGTGTGTTTATTTGGGAGCAAGTTGGCAGCCAAGGGAAATTCTAACTACTCTCTAGCAAGCTTTCTCACTGGACTTTCTTGAACCACCAGCCTGCAAATAATAACATGGAGATTTCTTAATTATGAAAGCTTGGCCCCGAGCTTGGGCTTTTCCCCAACTAACTCTTATGACTTGAATTAACCTGTATCCATTGGTCTACACTCTGCCATGTCTCAAGTTACCTCTACTCTGTACTTCTTTCAATGGCGCCCCCTCCTGTCTTCCTCCTTGGGTCCAAACACTCCTGGGAAGTCCTGCCTATTCCCTCCTGCCTAGCTATTGACAACTTAGTTCTTTATTAAACCAATAGGAAGGCACCCAAGGTAAAGACACATCTTTACAATGAAAACAAATAAGTCTGTAACATTTCTCTGTGTAGCCCGGCTGTCCTGAAACTTGCTTAGCTCAGCAGATGAGGCTAGTCTCAACCTCAAAGAGATCTGCCTGCCTCTGACTCCTGGGTGCTGGGATTAAAGGTGTGTGACACCACCACCTGGCTATTTTTTTTTTCTTTTCTCTAAAATACTTGTATTTTTAAAGTTACTTAATTGTATGTGCATTGATGTGAGGCTGTAGATCCCTTAGGACTTGAGTTACAGACAGTTGTGAGCTGTCATGCATGTGCTGGGAATTGAACCCAGATCTTCTAGAGGAGCAGCCAGGGCTCTGAAGCGCTGAGCCATGTCTCCAGCCCCCTCAAATACTTTTTTTTTTTTTTTTAAAGAGAAAGACACATTTTAAAATGCTAACTCAGATTTACCTTCATACTGAACTTTTTACACTGTTGACTCCTTTTCATCTACTAGAAGACCTTAGTTCCTAAAGCCATCACATAGGTACCTGCTGTCTTATAGAATCACACTTTCAAACGAGCAGTATGAAAATGACTTCATTTGAACTTTAGTTACATTTATTTAGTGTGCATGTATGTGTGTGTGGGTTCACATGTATCTAGAGGTCAGGGGAACACTTGCAGGAGTCAGTTCTCTCCTACTATCTCCCAAGGATGAAATTCAGGCTGTCATGCTTGTTAGCAAGCACCTCTACCATGGAATCGGCTCATCTGGCCTTCAATTCCATTTCTGAGCAGTTTTGTTCTCCCTAAACAATATTTCACCAGGGGAGTACAATAAAAATATTGATAATTTAAAAACAATTTATTACATTTTTATTGGGGGGGCACTATTATTTCACAAATACGGAAAACATTTACAGGCTTCCAGTATCTTAATTATACACTGAGTGCACATGTCTCATCCATGTCTTTCCTCTCCCACAAACATAGACACTTTCAGAAGTTGTGTTTAGTCTCCCAGTATTTTATCTTTTGTTTTGATCTCAACTCGGTAACCCTGGCTGGCCTTCAACTCACAGAGAGCCACCTGCTTTTGCTTCCCAAGTGCTGGGGTTAAAGGCGTTCATCGCCACACCAGCCCCACTGCTTATATTTTAAATATAAGCAATTAGGTCAGGTGCGAAGGCACACTCCTATAACATCCCCACCCCCGGGAGTGTGGGGGTTCAGGGGCAAGAGGATCAAGAGTTCCAGACTGGGCTGATGGGATAGCTCAGCAATTAAAGCCACTTGACACACAGCACACATGCCTGGTGACCAGAGTTCAGTCCCTAGAATCCATCCAAAGGTAGGAGGAGAGAATGGACTCCACGAAACTGTCCTCTGACTTCCATATATACATCATATAAACACAGGTACATACCTTTTTAAAGGTTGGCCAGGTATGGTGGTACACATCTTTAATACCAGCACTCAGGAGGTAGAGGCAGGTGGATCTCTTGTGAGTTCCAGGCCAGTTTGATATACAGAGTAAACTCAAGGCAGGCCAGGGCTACTAAGTGATACCCTGCCTCAAAAACAATCAAAAGAACAGCAGAAAAATGTGGAGTAATTCTTCTAATTGGATTAACGATAGGCCTTTTAAAAGTTTAGAATATCCTAAATGGTGGTGGCATATATGCCTTTAATCCTAGCACTCAGGAGGCAGACATAGGCAGATATCTGTGAGTTCGAGGCCAGGCTGGTCTACAGGACAAGTTCCAGGACAGGCTCCAAAGCCATTGAGAAACTCTGTCTCCAAGAAAAAAGTTTAAAATATAAGCAATTGTGTTTATCATTCACACAGATGATGGCACACTATAAAATACTGGTCTGCTAGTTATCTTCAGCTGTCAACTTGACCGCTCAGCTATTTGAGCACATCTCAGTTAGGAGATTGCCTCCATCAGACTGCTTGTGAGCATGTCTGCATGTGTGTGCGCGTGTGTGTGGGGGGTTGATTACTAATTGGCAAAGGAGTGCTCACCCCAATGTGGTCAGTGCTATTACTAGGCAGGCCAGCCCAGGCTATTTTAGAAACATAGCTGAGCAAGCCAGTAAGTAGCTTTCCCCAACTGTTCCTTCTCCCAGTTCCTGCCCTGACTTTCCTCGGTGATGAATTTATGACCCTAACCCTGGAAATTTAAGTCAAACAAACCCTTTCCTCTCCTAAGGTGTTTTTGGTCAGTGGTTTGCTTGTTTGTTTTCCCCTTTTTAATCATAGCAATAGGGAAAAAAGCTATAACAGGTATGTCGCTTGAAATTCCTGTGGCATTTAATGACTGCAATCAACAGAGAGATCTCTTCCTAGTCCGTTCTCTGTAACTCTGGTAGAGATCTGTCTACACAGCATTCCGATGCCCCCCTACTATCCAGGGCAGGAAACAAGTCTTGGCTGAAATCTGCACTCCCAGCAAACTGGTGGACACAGTACCAGGGATGGCACTCAGGACAAACTCTAAACAAATTACTTGGGTTTTATTAGGAGAGGGGCTGGAGGTGGTTATACCAGAGGCAGGAGCTGCTTTTCTAGAAAGACACCTTTTGGTCAAATGCAGCAGAAGTCAGCTTTCTCTCCAGTGAAAGTGAAGTCAATAGTAAAGCTGTGACTTGTGGAGTTTAGTTCAGATTATATAAAAAGTTGCCCAATTCCCAAATATTAGTCCAATAAACAGAAGACTTGAGGAAAATGAACCTGGAGCTCAATCACAGATTCTTTTTGTACCTTATTAGCAAACAGGTGCAGAATAATAAAAGGATGGGCGTTTCTGGAAGACGCTTACTGAATCTGTGTAACTAACGGGCCGGCCAATTGGTCCTCGCCTCTGAGTGATTATGAGCCTGATGACAGAGTTCAGGCCGACTGCTGCAGGGACATGACTGACAGCTGTTTGGGGGGGGGGTCTGAAAGGCTTCGGCCCCGAAGCGCCCACCGTCCCGACCACTGCGGTTCTGGACCTCAATCCTGGTCAGTGGCGACTTGTCTAGTGTCGCTGCACCCTCCTACCTGAGCTCAGGCCCTCCTAGGCCAGGTGCTGCAGCCAGGTAGGCCGCGCCCTATCCCCTTCGCCCGACAGGGCCACCCCGATCCTCACCGCAGGGAACAATGAGGTTCCGGCTTCTTTAAGGGAGATACCACCGCGTCGGTGGGGCAGGGGACGGCGTCCTCCCAGATGATCGCACTGAGTCCCGCATCGCCGCCTGGGCCGCTGCGCCGCCCGCAAACACGGCTGGGTGACTCGGAAAGAAGGTGCAGCCTCCCATCACCGGCCGCACCACCCCGCGGGCCCGCCGCCCAAACCCGCTATCGGCGAGGAAGATGCGCCGGGCGACCGGTCGCAGCGAACCGCACACTCCAGCCCGCCGCTCGGTAGGTCGGCAGAGGACGGGTGGGCAGCCCGCGGCCGGGCACGTGTACTGCTGGCCCGGGGCAGTGGCCGCAGCTTCCCCCAAGTCCGGGGACTCGCACCCGCTGCAGCAGAGGGCGACCGTCCGCTGTCACCACCCCTGCGGGCCAGGGCAGCAGTGGTCCGCCCGGCAGCGCGCACTCCGCGGGCGACGCTCGGCTCCGCGCAGCACCGGAGCAGCGGCGCCGGAGCGCAACGCCCAACGAGCGCAGGGCAGGCGCTCGCCCAGCAGGCGGCGCTCGGTGGCGCACGCGCACTACGGAAAGCCGGAGGGGGCGGGGCCCGGCGTGAGGGGGTGTGTCCGCGCACCACGGGGGCGCGCGCCGGCTTCTGACTGGAGGCCGCGGCAGCCGAGGCGCGAGCTGCCCGATAATGGCGGCCTGCAGAGCTCATGGGAGGGAGAAGCGGCAGCGGCTGCCCTGAGGTAAATCTGGCCCTTCGTCGTGGCACGGATGCCCTGCAGTCAGAACCGACCTTCTGCATGTGTCTCTGTCCCCAGCAGGCCTGGTACAGACCTCTCAGCGGAGTCATCCCCGGGAAGGCCCGGCGCTGCCCCGGCCAGCGGCCGGGACTGCGGCCTCCGTTCCCGCCCGGGCCACTCCCGGGTACCGGCCCCTAGTCTGCAGCCTCGAGGAGTTGAAGCAGCCGTGGAGCCGGCTGAAGGGCCACGGGAGGGTCCCTCGGGGTCTCGGGGGACTGTCGCCGGGAGTGATCTTGCTGCTGGGGCAGTGAGCGCGGCCTGAGCCTGTGCGGCGGCAGCACCTCTGGCCTCACTTGTCCCTTTCCCGGCACCAGCAGGTGCATGTCCAGGTCGGCCGTGCCCAGCACCCGGGGACCATAACAGGCAGGAGGGTCCGGGAGATGCCATCGTAAGGCAGGTTCTCGAAGGATGCTTCCCCGGGACAGCTCTCCCTCCAGGATCCCAGGGATTTGATAGACCCTTTCTTACACAGAAAGGTGCCCCTCTCTTTCGGGGGACTGTGCAAGTGGGAGAGCCAGCCACTTGGAAGCGCATAGCAACCGGCGACCGGGCCAGAGCAGGACAGAAGGTCCGCCAGTGGCAGGAAATCTGACATTAGGAAACTTGAAGGATAGGCGCCCAGTTAAAGGAAGTAGCACCCAAGGCAATCCCCAGAAGCAGTCATTTTCTTTTAAATCTGGCCTATGTTGTTGTAGTTGTTCCGGAGTCCCAGCTTGCAGGGTCAGTCACTTTTTGTTTCTCTGATTGGGCAATGTAAATACAATCTCAGGTTACTTTACCAGCCAGTGATGACAGCAGCTTGAGGAAGCATGCTGCAGGCTCTCCGTTCAGAAGGATGTTCTGCAGGGCCTGTGCTTTAGCTTGCCTTTAAATGATTTATTAATCTGGAACTCCAGAGAACTTTTCTCAGAGAATTCCCTTTGATGTATAAAATGACCTAGAATTGAATAGCTGTGTTAAATGATAATAAAAAAAGTAGTTCTAGTCAAAGCAGCTTACTTCGTTTTAAGGAATAGTTCTACAAGAACTTTGTGTTTGTTTTGTAAGAAGCAAATAGCCAAGCACAGTGGCACATGCCTATAACCTCAGTTCTAGGAAGGTAGAGGCAGGAGGATCAGTAGGTTGGGATCATCCTCTGCTACATAGTGAGATCAAGGCTAGCCTGAGCTACTGGAGACCCTGTCTCAAACAAAAGTGATTTGTTCACTTTCAGTCCATAAGCATAAGTCAGGTATTTGTATTTCTAACTGTGAGGGATTTTTGCATTTTACTGTTTTTATTACCTTTCATATATGTATCAACCTTCATGATCGCTTCATGATCAGTAATTTAAAATGATGAATTTTGAATTTGTTTATTTAGTGTTTTTCAAGACAGGGTTTCTCTGTGTAGCCCTGCCTGTCCTAGAACTCTGTGTAGACCAGACTGGCCTTGAACTCAAGGGTCTGCCTCCTGAGTGCTAGGATTAAAGCCTGACTGCTTGGATTAAAGGCTAGAGCCATTGCTGTCCAGCTTTGGGTTTATTTTTATCAATGACATGCTTCAGCAGTTCCTATAAGTAGTAGTGTTGTTTAAGTCATGGATATCTGAACCAAAGAGCTGCCTGGCCACTGGCTTTGTACTTACCCTCTCTGTTTTTAATTTCCTCACTTATTTTTTGTTGTTGTTTTGCTTTTTGTTTTTGTTTTTCAAGACAGAGTTTCTCTGTATTGCTTTGAAGCCTGCCCTGAAACTAGCTCTGTAAACCAGACTGGCCTCGAACTCAGAGATGCACCTGCCTCTGCCTCCCAAGTGCTGGGATTAAAGGCGTGTACCACCAACACCCAGCCTGATTTTCTTACTTCTAAAATGACCATTATAGCACCTACCCCTTACTATATAGCTTGTGGTTAGGGATTAAATGAATGTGATATAAAGTAGCCAGGTAATGTCACAAGCCTGCAATCCCATTCCAGAGGCAGAGGCAGTCATGAGATTGGTTCAGTGGGTAAAGTTATTTTCTGCCAAATCTTAAAACGGGAGTTCAATTCCTGGGACCCACGTGGTAGAAGGAGAGAACTGACTTTCACAAAACTATGCAAAGGGAACATGCAATACAACTTTTAAAAAGTAAAAGCCATCTTGAGCTACATAATAGCAAGATCCTGTCTTTTAAAAAAGGGCTGGAAGCAAGGCATGGTGGCACAAGCCTTTCTTTAATCCTAGCACTGGGGAAGCAGAGGCAGACTTATCTCTGAGTTGGAAGTCAGCCAGGGTTACACAGACCTTGTCCAAAAAAAGGGGTGGGTAGGTGGGTGGAGCCTGGAGAGAGAGTTGTGTGGATAAAGCATTTGTCCACTAAGTATGAGGAACTGAGTTTGGATCCACAGAATCCATGTACAGCTAAATGTCCTATGTGAGATGGGGGGCAGAAACAACAGTCTCCAGAAATTCACAAGCAGCTAGCCTGCTATGCTTGCTAGTAGTGACAGGAGGAGCCAAGTTATGCCGTGGCATAGGCATGCCTACACTCACATACCAAGATTAACTTTAAAAAAAAAAGTCAGAAATGATAGTACAGTAACCATGGCTTCCAAAGCCAGCCTGACCTACATATCAAGCTCCACTCCAGGGGAACTTAGCAAGACCCGGTCTCAAACTCTCAAACTTTAAAAACTATTATAAGGTATTTGAAATAATTCCTAATACATGGTAAGTGCTGTTACCTTTATTATTATTGGTAGATTCATCCAAGGTATAGATAGATGTCCTTCAAGTACCACTGTAAAACAGTTAAGACATGCATAAGAATACAAACCAAAATAGGTACACTTAATTTCAACAGAGTACTTTGTTGATTTTTCCAGAAACCTCGACCTTGAAGATGGTGAGTAGCCAGCCAAAGTACGATCTAATACGGGAGGTAGGCCGAGGTAGTTACGGTGTTGTGTATGAAGCAGTCATCAGAAAGACCTCTGCAAGAGTAGCAGTGAAGAAAATTCGATGCCACGCACCTGAAAATGTTGAACTGGCTCTTCGAGAGTTCTGGGCACTAAGCAGTATCAAGAGCCAGCACCCAAATGTGATTCACTTGGAAGAGTGCATTCTACAAAAAGATGGGATGGTGCAAAAGATGTCCCACGGCTCTAATTCTTCCCTTTATTTACAGGTATGTGACACTGGATAGGAAATGGACGTAATATTGGTCAGCAAGAGGAAATGGAAAGTGTCAGATGAACTTCTCCCTTAAAAGGCAGGTGTTTTATGGCTAGGTGCAAGTAGAGGTCTTCAGAGGATAGAGAAGATACTTGCTTTAACCTTGTGCTGCACATACCTAAAAATAACATAAGCCACCTGTGATGCCTTGCCAGTCTGTGTAGGAATAGGACAAAATGGGAACTAGAGGGCGAGACTAGCATCTAAGTTCAGTTCCTGGAAACTTCTTTTTAAAATAAACACGGAAGACAAGGAAAAACACCACAATCAGTAACAGTCATACCCATAGGTAATTGAACTTCTCTTTTTTGGAAGTCTAAACATAATAAACCTTAGGTGAGAATATTGGTACGTGTCGATAATCCTAGGACTTGGAAGGTGGAGGCAGGAGGAGGTTCACCTTTATATGGAATTCAAGACATACCTACACTGGATCATGAGTTTCAGGACAAAAGTTATCCTCTCACCTCCACACTCACACAGTATCATATATGCATGTAAATACTACATATATGCACACACTCATAAAACTCACACACATAAAAATAAGTAAATGTAGTTTAACAATTGAATATAGTAACAACAACAAAAACCATGTTTTATGTTGTTGAAAAGGCTCAGAGGGTAAAGGAGCTTGTTGCCAAGCCTCTTAACCCTAGTTCAGTGCCCTGGTCCCACATGGTAGAAAGAGGGAGTGGAGCCCTGAAAGATGTTCTCTTACCTCCACGAATTTGCTGTAGCACTACACATACAGGAAATGAATAATTAAAAAAAATTAAAACTATCTTCATTATCGTTTACCTTTCTAAAAGTACTTACGTTGCAATGATAAAAAAAAAAAGTCAGAGCGAGGCAGTGGTGGTGCATGCTAGAGGCAGAGGCAAGCAGGCCTCTGGAGTGAGTGAGGGACTGTTACACTACACAGAGAAAAACCCTGTCTCAAAAAAGATTGGAAACTTTGCTGGTTTTTTTTTTTTTTTTTTTTTTTTTTTTTGCCAGTGCTAGAGATTGAGCCTAGGGTTTGGGGCATACTCTGTAAACTGCATCCCTCCTAAACCTTTGTCCACTTTACATTGATTTGTAGAGATTAAGGTACACAATCCCTGTGGATGGAAAAGTGAAGATGTTAGTGTATTTGACTTAGTTGGAGTCCAGATCTAGCAACTGTAACAAGAATTAGATATTGTTTAGTGCTGAATCCACATCTAGCAACTGTAACAATGAGGTACTTAAGGTCTTAAGATGGGAAGTACCAGATTTGACCAAGTGATTTTCATATTTAAATTGCCTTTTTTAGTAAATCTCTTTCACTCTGTAAAGCCTTAGTGACCTGTATTTGATTTATGTCACTTTGTGCTATCAGAATGGCTTGAAATAATCATCTTTCCTAGTAGCTGTTTGTTCACATGTTGTGATCACTCCTGCCTTCTGTGGACATTGCCAGAGACAGAGGTGATGCAGAAGCAAGGTTTGGCCATAAGAACTCAAAAATAGGTACCTGTGTTGAAGTAAAATATTCTTTTCTTTTTTTTTCTTTGAAACAGTCTCACTGTGTGTCCCTGGCTAACTCAACATGTAAACGAGGCTGGCCTCACACTTGACAAAGATCCACCCGTTTCTGCCTCTGAGTGCTGGAATTAAAGACATGCACTATCTCACCCAGCATAGTTGACCATATATTTATCAATAGAATTGTATCAAAACAATATAATACAGTATAGTCAATACATAAATCTATAATATAACCAGAAAGTTCCTATGCATGGTCCTTGTCTGTATAAATTTTCATTTTTCTACATGTTTTTCTACATGTTGTCAGTTGGAATCATTAAATCAATTCCTGATAGCTAAAGATCCTTATCCAAGAGAAAATGTAAAACAAAATTACAAGGGCTTAATTTCATGCATAAAGACTTTGCAGCCTCCAGTCTGTATATTTCAGACTAAAGGCATTGATGGTGTAGAAACATAATAGGGAATCAGATATATCTTGGAGCTGAAGAACTATGAACTGACAGGATGTGCTGTGCATAGTTCTAAAACATGAGATCGAGGAAGGATTATCATGAGTTCAAGGCCAGCTTGAGCTACACAGTGAGTTCAAGGTCAGCCTGAGGGACAGAGTAAGATCCCATCTGGGGAGTTAAAAAAGAATTTAGTTGGGCATTGGTGGTACATTCCATTAGTCCCAGCACTCAGGAGACAGAGGCAGGTGAATCTTTGTGAGTTCAAGACCAGCTTGGTCTACAGAGCCAGTTTCAGGACAGCCAAGGCTACACAGAGAAACTCTATCTAGAAAAAACTTTTAAAACCAGGTGTTGGTGGCACATGCCTTTAATCCCAGCACTCAGGAGGCAAAGGCAGGAGGATCTCTGTGAGTTCGCGGCCAGCCTGGTCTACAGAGCGACAGGCTCCAAAGCAATTCAGAGAAACCCTGTCTCCAAAACAAAACAAAACAAACAAACAAAACAAACAAACAAACAAACAAAACAAAAAAAAGAAAGAAAGAAAGAAAAGAAAAAACTTTTAAAAAATTATAAACTTTTAAAAACTAAGTGGGTGAGCTATGCATTCCCCTTCTTGCTGGCCAATATTATGTGCACCGTCATGCCTGCCTTCGAAACCACTCTTTGAGTACTGGGATTCTGCATTACATAAAGCTATTTTAGGGAAAGACAGAAAACTGAAGTCAGTTAGAAACACTGCACCTGTACTTCTGCACTGGGGCACCATGCCAAAAGGAGAACCAGCGGGCCATTGCCATTGCTGCCCTCTGCATGGGAGACAGAATGGAGGGGTGCTGTTTGCTTTTGTCAAAATAACCAGAGGAAGTAGTGATAGCAATTCATTTAAATATGAACTTGTCAGTTACTCATTCTTCAGTGGTGCGTTCTGAATTTTCCCTTTTCATACCACCAATCTAAAAAGATACCATATAACAAATAATTTAAAAGCAGTATTCCTCTATATGTTAGTCTTTTCATGAAGTAATGAGCTAGGAAGTAGTAGAATTCAGCTATATTACCTATATAGAAAATGTAGGCCAGTTGGGTACTTTCTAGAATACAGCTACTTAAAAATGCTACTTCTTGGCCCAGATAATTACTATATATTTAGTAAGGACAAAAGTGGCATTCTGTCTGGGTGTTGGTGGCACAAACCTTTAATTCTAGTACTTGGGAGGCAGAGGCAGGTGGATCTCTGTGAGTTTGAGGCCAGCCTGGTCTATAGAGCAAGTTCCAGGACAGGTTCCAAAACAATACAGAGAAACCCTGTCTCGAAAAACCAAAAAAAAAAAAAAAAAAAAAAAAAAAAAGAAAGAAAGAAAGGAAAGAAAAAAAAGTGGCATTCTTTCTGAAGTGCTGATAAAACATCTTTTAAATGCATGTATAAAAGCACTGATAAAATAAAATGTTCCTGACATTGACAGTTAGAGCTGGAGGCTGGGGCTGGAATCACCTCAGTGCAGAGCAGAGCTTCCTAACCATTCCACTCATGACCTCTCCAGAGAAACCTGTGAGTGACAGGTGTGTAAAAATAATAAACATGCACTGGTAATGAATCGGTAAATAATTTTATTTTAAAGCAATCCTTTGGTATAGATATAATTTTAGCTTTGATTAAAGTCGGAAGCATGTTTATACACTAATGATGTGAATGTGATTATTTATTTCTACATAAAGAGTTAAATCTTGGGCTGGCAAGATGACTTGGTGGGCAGAGATACTTAACTGCAGGCCTGACCACCTGAGTTTCATCCTCAGGTCCCACAAGGTGGGAGCAGAGAATCAACCTCCAGAGTTACCCTCTGGCACATATGTTTTCCAGTACTTGAGAGTACACACATACACAATTAAATCCATTTAAAAAAATATTGGGTCAATAATTGTTGCTGTAAAATGTAGAACTTCTTCAGCATTTTCCACAATTGATAACTTTTGTTTTATGAACATCAGTGATGAGAACAGTGTTTCGTATAAATAGTTCAGTACAAAATAGTAGGCATAAGTTTAAGCAAATCAGAAATTGTTCAAAATTCTGCCCTAAGAGCTTTCAGCAATGCTTCTGCAGTTGGGATTACAGATATGTTCCACCACACCCACCTCCAAACAGCAATTTTTAAAGTTAAACCTCTCTCTCAGTCTCACTATGTAACTCAGATAAGACTCAGGCAGGCCTTAAACTTTTGGTCTCTTGAACTAGGTGTAGTGACATACCTGTAGTTTCAGCACTGAAGATGGAGGCAGGAGGATCAGAAGTTCAAGCCCAGCCTTGACTATACAGTGAGTGTGAGGCTTTCATGAACTATTTGAGACCATGCCTCAAAACAGAGGGGAAAAAAACAGGAAAGAAAATAGTACCCAAATTAAGCCTTATACCAAAACATAACCTATTGATAGACTGCTTTTGGTACTTGCTGAGTAATGACAGTAGAAAAATCAGAAGTCTTTGTTTTCCCCAATGAAACCATTATGTTTCTATATAAGAACAGACAATTTTGTATATATAGTAAAAAATGCTGTAATTTGGTTTTGAATTAATTTTTGGTAACTGAAAGTTCGTCAAACCTTTGACTGTTGGCAGCTTGTTTTGTGTGTGTGACCCCTACTTTCTGTTTAAGAGACCCTTGCCTTAGCAGACTTTAATCCCAGCACTCAGAAGCAGAGACTGGTGGATCTCTGTGAGTTCAAGGCCAGCCTGGTCTATAAGTGAGTTCCAGGACATCCAAGGATACACAGTAAAATCCTGTCATGAAAAACCAAAAAGAAAAGAATAAAGAAACCCTTGTCTGGAATGCACAAGACCCTGGGTTTAATTCCCAGCATTGCAGAAACAATAAAACTGCAGATTTACCTAACTTTCTTTTATTTTCAAGACAGAGTTTCTTTCTGTAGTCCTGGAACTCACTCTGTAGACCAGGCTGGCCCTAACTCATAGAGATCCACCTGATTCTGCCTCCCAAGTATTGGCACCACTACCACTCAGCTTGGGTTGGTAAATTTTTTTTCTTTTAATTTTTTTATCTGCGTTGGTGTTTTGCCCACATGTATATCTGTATGAGGAAGTTGGATTCCCGGAACTGGAGTTACAGATGGTTGTGAGCTGCCATGTGGGTGCTGGAAATTGAACCTAGGTCCTCTGGAAGAATAGCCAGTGCTCTTAACCCCTGAGCCATCTCTCCTGTGCTGCCTCTTTTTATAATAGTAATTTTTGGTTTTGCAAGACAGGGTTTCCCTGTATAACACCTGTGGTTGTCCAGGAACTCTCCTGGACCAGGGTGGCCTTGAACCCATGGAGATCCACCTGCCTTTGTCTCCCAAGTGCTGGGATTAAAGGTGTGCACCACTACCACTCAGCTAAAATATATACTTTTTAAGATATACAACTAGGTGTGGTAGCACACATCTTTAGTTCCAACAGTGGGGAGGCAGAGGCAGGCAGATCTCAGAAGTGGAGGTCAGCCTGGTCTACAAAGCAAGTTTCAGGGCAACCAGGGCTACACAGAAAATCCCTCTCTGAAAAAACAACAAAAAAAGACTTACTAATTTTTAAGTATGTTTGTGTGGGGGGGGGGGGATATATGTGTCAGTGTAGGTGCCCTTAGAGTCCAGAAAAATTACTGGATCCCCCTGCCCCCCCCCCCCAGCTATCATTGCAGGCAGTTGTGAACCAATTGGTGCTAATGACCTGAACTCCAGTTCTCTGAGGACAATAAGCTCTTAACTGCTGACCGGTATTTCCAGCCTACTTTAACCTTTCTTTTGTTTGTTTGTTTTTTATTTTTCGAGACAGGGTTTCTCAGTATTGCCTTGGAGCCTGTCCTGGAACTCTCTCTGTAGACCAGGCTGGCCTCGAACTCACAGAGATCTACCTGCCTCTGCCTCCCGAGTGCTAAGATTAAAGGCATGCTATAGTCAAATTTTGTAACAACTTTTCTTCTCCTCTCTCTTCACAGCTTGTAGAGACTTCATTAAAAGGAGAAATTGCCTTTGACCCCAGAAGCGCCTATTATTTGTGGTTTGTGATGGATTTTTGTGACGGAGGAGACATGAACGAGTATCTGTTGTCTAGGAAGCCCAATCGAAAGACTAACACCAGCTTTATGCTACAACTCAGCAGTGCTCTGGCTTTCTTGCACAAAAACCAGATCATCCACCGAGACCTGAAGCCTGATAACATCCTCATTTCTCAAAGCAGGCTGGACACCAGTGACTTGGAACCCACGCTGAAAGTGGCTGATTTTGGTCTAAGTAAAGTTTGTTCAGCCTCTGGGCAGAACCCAGAAGAACCTGTCAGCGTAAACAAGTGTTTCCTTTCTACGGCATGTGGAACGGATTTCTATATGGCTCCTGAAGTATGGGAAGGACACTACACAGCAAAAGCTGACATCTTTGCTCTGGGAATTATCATCTGGGCAATGCTGGAGAGGATCACCTTCATAGACACAGAGACAAAGAAGGAGCTCCTGGGGAGTTATGTAAAGCAGGGGACCGAAATCGTGCCTGTTGGGGAGGCACTTCTGGAAAACCCCAAAATGGAACTTCTCATCCCTGTGAAGAAAAAGTCTATGAATGGACGAATGAAGCAACTGATTAAGGAAATGCTGGCCGCAAACCCTCAGGATCGTCCGGATGCATTTGAACTAGAACTCAGATTAGTCCAAATTGCATTTAAAGACAGCAGCTGGGAAACGTGACCTACTGCTCAAAAACATCTTAGATGATGTGCAGCTTCTGAGTCAACAGTGATTCGACATTATGTGGCCGAAAGGAAGACGCAAGTTAGGCTCCACTTTCTAAGGGTTTAGGTTTTATTGTGGGGTAATTTCTTTTCTCTCATTTCTCTTACTCCATGCAGACCATATTATTGTATGTTTTGAATGTGTATTACCAATGTGGGTGTAAAATTTTTTTTAATGATCATTGGTAAACGTTTGGCAGAAAAAATTCCCTTAAGGGCCAAGCAGAGAATAGAGTCCAATTTTCTGGAAATATGTCTTTAAGTATTTTAGACATTCCTTGTCAGTATTAGACATTTCCATGGAAGAAGAGGTTTGCATGCTGGTAATGCAACCTTTGAGGCTTTGTAAAGGAAACATATATGTATATATTTATGTATATGTAAGTATGTGAATGTGTGCATTTTGTATTCCACATGAAGAAAATGCCACTTCTGCTTAAATTATTTGATAGAAGTTGTGAGATTTGCTGGTGAAATTGGTGATGAAAACTACATAAAACCACCCCTCAGCTTCTACCCTGCTCCTCCCAGTACTGGAAACATGCTAAGGGTATTTGTTTGTTTTTTTGTTTTGGTTTTTGTTTTCCTTAGTATACATCTCTCTTTAAAGGCATCATTTTGGAGGGTCTAAAATGGCTGGTTAAACATAATTGAAGCTAAGCACTTCCAAACTGGTGGAGTACGTCTGAGCTCTCCAGGGCCCTGTAGCGCTTTGAGTTGAATTAGTCATGCAGTCACATGGTAAAAGGTTGGTTGGCAGGGATGCCAATGGCTCAGTCATTACCTTTAGGTAACTGAGCATTTGTTTAATGAAACCACTGCACTGGAATGTGTGTGCACTTGAGCATCTGCCATGTCTCAGCATAAAGTTGAAGGAACCACATGAGCTCACCCTCCAGTTGCTGGCCCTGCTGTGGCTTCCTGTTGAATCACTGGAGTCCCTGTAACTTTGGCATTGATACTGTTTTCTCTTGTCTTCTGTGAGACAGCAATGGGACTGGTAATCACTGTCATAAATATTGGTTGCTTTTTTACAAAGTGAGAGATGATGACAAGTCTGGCAGGTGGATAAAATTCTATGCCATCAACTGCTTTTCGAGTAGAAAAGTTGTTTTCATTTGGTCACTGGCATTGTCTGTCAGAAAGCAAGAGACTCCTAATTCCTCCTGAGTGAAATTCTGACAGTGTGCTGGTCTCCAGATTGTTCATACTAATGCAGGAAACAGAGGAAAGGAGTCTTTCCTAACCAGAAAACCAGTCTCTAGGATGAATTAGATTCTAAAGCTTTATAAAACTCTAAGATTCCACCTCCAGTGCGGGGGTAGAACCCTGGGCCTTGGGCATGCTAGGGAAGCAGTCTGACCCTGCTGGGATCTTTGTCGAGCGAGCACTCAGATGCAAAAATCAAACGCTTACTGCTCTCATTGGCTCCTCAACACTTGAACCTCCACACCTCCACGGGGCTATGTAGCTCAGGGGAAAGCACTTGCCTGGCCTGTGGAAAGCCTGGATTCAGTCCCTAGCCCCTAAATCAGTAAGTCAATAAATAAAATGTGTTCAGAGGGTAATAAGAGATAACATACCAAAAAATGGAACGTGTAAAACTTCCAGATTGATTAACTCTGGAAGCTTAAAATCATGAACTGAAAGACTTTGTTAAAATCTCATGAAACGAAAAAATCACATACACCTCATATCATTTGCAGACTATTTGTTTCTAAAATAGAAGTGTGCTGGACATTCATGGTAATTGACCCTCTGGGTCACCAAGTTGACACAGATCTGAGCAGAGGACTGAGTTCCAGGAAATTAGAAGTCCCATTATAATGTAGGATCAGTGACTTGGTACTCCATTAGATTGATATGTGATTTTTATGCCAACAGTTCATTTGCTCTACAAATACCTGTGCACTTGAGTCCCCGGTGTCCTGAGCACATAGCTTTTGCTCCCGTTTCCTTGAAAATAATGGGTAATTTGGTTTGTCTTTTGGTTGGTCTTGGGATCATACCCAGAGCCTTACATGTGCTACACAAAGGCTTTACCACTGAGCTACATGTCTAGCCCCAGTTATTTCTTTTGAGAGATTTTTACCTGTGAAATACAATTCTTTCCTTCATTAGAGGTAAGGGTGTGGTGTGATCAGGAAATTTCCAGAATGTTCTCAAGTCCTTGTATTCTAAAATAGCTTATGATATCAACAAAAGGATAGTAATTTCTTTGTCTTTCTTTGTTCTTTTTCAGTCAGAGATATTTATTAAGTACCTACTGTGTGCTCAGCACTAAAGTTTAGTTGATAGGACAACAGTTTAAGATTACAGTTGGGCTGGACTGATGACTCAGCAGTTTAGAAGACTTGCTCCTCTTGCACCCATGTTGGGTGGCTCACAGCCACCCAACTCCAGCTCCAGGGGACCCAGTATCCTCTTGCTTCCATGGGCACACACCGTTTGTTAAAAAGTGCATTTAGACATGCGCTTTCTCCGATCACCTGTAAGAAATAAAAGATTAAAAAAATTTTTTTGGATATTTGCTAAAAGAAAAATGCAATCAAGAAATTGTGCACAGTGCCTTGCCCATAATAGGTACTCAATAAACAGTTATTCCTCATAGTCTGTTGCCATGGTTTCTAGTGTTTTATGAAATTTGTCTTAATTGAAAAAGACCAAATATTTCAAATAAGGCTGATAGGCAGCTGTGTCCAGTCACTGTAGGGTTGTACAGTTAGTTCCTAGGATGTTATTTTGCACTAGTCGTCACTTAGAAACATGGGATTCTGTAGATTCTTGGTGCTAAGGGATACTTTGTCATTTTGATGAAGTAAGTGTTAAGTGTCAGATAAATAGCACAGAATAGTTCTTTCTGCAGGTCTGGGTTTTTGTTTTGTTTTTCTTTGTTGTTTTTAATTGTAAAATGTTACCAATCAAACTATTGTAGCAGCTACAAAATAATTCACCAGCATGACAAAATAGTCAAAAAAAAAAAAAGATGTCATAGGCACATCAGAAATGAAAGCAACTTTAAAATTTTTTCTTTTAAAATTGTCAAATATATTTTATGAAGAATTTATAAAGGGGGAAAGTATTGTAATTTATTGTTCATGAGGTTTTTGTTTTTTTGTTTTTTTTAATAAAGTGAATTTCAACAAGATACCTTGGAAGTTCTCCTTGCTACTTTGGTGACTCGCGTGTGGTGTGATAATTCACGAGTGTGAAGTGATGTACACCGTGGGAAAGTGTTCAAAACTGTGTATGGAGTAAATGGTTCTCTCATGGAAGCTGTTGCTGGGGAAGGTGAAACCATGGCTATTTTTGCTTTCTATAAGAGAGAAATATATATTGTTTAAGATTCTTTTTTGAGATTGGTATTATCTAGGTATGAATGTTTTACCAGTTCATGCAGTGCCAAAGGAGGCCAGCTAGGGTGTTGGATCCCTGGAACTGGAGTTACAAGCCATTGTGAACCTCCACATAGGTGCTAGAAATTGAACCCAAGAGCCTCTGTGAGAGCATCAGGGGATTTTAACCACTGAACATCTCTTTAGCCCCAGGATTTTTTTTTTTTTTTCCATTTATCTTAATAGGTTGAGTATTCAATCAGATGTGATGGTTTCTCTTAAATGTACTAAGTGGATGTGATTTCAATTGTTAGCATGAGCTGGTGGCACCTTTAATCCCAGCACTTGGGAGGCAGAGCAGACAGTTGTCTGAGAGTTTGAAGCAAAGCCAAATACTGAATTCTAGGCCAGGACTACATAGTAAAACCTACTCAGGGGAAAAAAAAAAAAAAAAAGTCATTTTCAGCCTATTTATTTTATTTCTGAGACAGGATTTCTGTGTGTAACAGCCGGAGCTGTCCTGGAACTTGCTCTGTAGACCTGGCTCGCCTAGAATTCACAGAGATGCCTCTGCCTCCAAATGCTGGAATTAAAGGTGTGTGCCAACCACCGCCCAGCCTCAGCCTTTATTTTTTCTTTGCCTTTGTAAAATGTACTGTTGCCTGAGCATAAGGTCTTCCTGCTGGCAAGTGGGATTGCTTTGGGACTACTGCAGCTGGAGCCTCCACAAATGGACTTTGCTTCTGCTTGGAGATCGCCTTTTTAAAATTCAAACTATAAATTGTAGCTATCAGCACTTCCGTAACCCTGTGCAGGTTACAGAGCACCGTCACATGACCTTCAGACGGGGAGTAGGAAGGAGCCGACTTCCCAGTGAAGAACTGCAGGGAGAAACAGCAGCAGATGATGGTGTCACCAGAACAGTCTGCCACCTAATCTCTGCCTCCAGAAAAGCTTTATCTCTCTGACGGAAGGAACCCAACATTACTCTGGCCTTCCTTCAAATTCAAATGTTGCTGCCTCGATCAGCCAATCATAGACGCCCTCTAAAGTGCCCTGCAGTGTCGGTTTGTGGGTAGATAGTAACTCCAAAAAACCCTCAGAGGCCACACCTCTAGGAAGCAAAGCGCGTCTTTTAAAAGGTGGTACTTTCACCCAGGCAAAAAGTTTCCATTGGTTAGAAGTGAATTGTTTGGGGGGGGGGGGGAACCCAGAGCTTCGGACTTCACTCTTTTCCAGTTCAGCCTGGTATTTCAAGCTTAACCTGTTTTGATCTGAAGTTAAGCAATTGGTATTACAGAAGCTGAAAGATCCGGTATGGAAGACTAGCTTTTGCAAATGGCCACATAAGTAATGCGTGCCATTGGGTAAGTAGCTTCATTTTGAGCCTCAGTTCCCATAGCTGCAGAGTGAAATGATATTTACATTTCATTGTTTTTGAGTAAATATAGTGCCTGGCACAGCACCTGCATGCTGAGTTCTTCAATGGTCGTGTATTCTAAATTTAAATGAGAACAGAGTTCCAGTCAGTCAGGGTTGTATAGTGTGACCCTTGTCTCAAACAACAACCAAAAAACCCACCACAATAAAGTTTGGAGAGGACGAAGGAATCATGACAGACTTCAGATGGAGCTTTGATTGCCCCCATTTTGTGAAAACCTAGTGAAGGCACTGCCCCCTTTCCTCGGGAAATGTTTACTTTAATTCCAAGGGGATACAGATGTCAGGAGTCCACCTGGACCCTGGGCTTTGGGTGCTGGTTCTCCTAACTAGAATCCATGCACCTACAGGTTCTAGTAAACCCTGCATGACTTTGTTTCTTTTTTTAAAGTTGATTTAAATGTCTTTTATGTGCATTGGTGTGAAGGTGTCAGGTCTGTTACAGACAGTTGTGAGCTGCCAACAGTTTCTGTTCCTATCATAAAACAGCATGACCAAAAGCAACTTAAGGAGGAAAGTGTTTGTTCCAGCTTGCACTTACAGGTTCATAGTAAGGGAGTCAAGGCAGGAAGTGAAGTATATAACCCATGGAAGAAAGTGGCTTGCTCAACCTTTCTTATCTATTTATTTTTTATTTACCTTTAATTTTATTTTTTTGAGACAGTATCTTTCAATATAGTGTTAGCTGGCTGCCTGGCTACCTAAAATTCCCTGTGTAGAGCAGGCTGGCCTCAAACTCACAAAGACCCACTTGCCTCTCTGCTTCTGCATCTTGAATGCTAGGATTAAAGGTGTGTGCCACCTTTTGTGACTCAGCCTATTTTCTTATTCAATCCAGGAACCCTAGATGAGAGGTGACATCACATACAGTGAGACCTCCTCCCCATTCAATCGTTAATCAAGAAAAGAGTCCACAAATTTGCCTACAGGCCAATATTATGGAAGCATTAAGATCCCCTCTTCCCAAGCCAGGTGCTGGTGGTGCACACCTTTAATCCCAGCACTTGAGAGGCAGAGGCAGGCAGATCTCTGAGTTGGAGGCTTGTAGATGGAAGTTTCTGTCCCGCCCAGTCCCTCAGACATTTAGTACCAAATAAATACACAGAGGCTTATGTTAATTATAAACTGCTTGGCTGATGGCTCAGGCTTCTTATTGGCTAGCTCTCTCTTAATTACTAACACATTTCTATTACTTGTGTATCTCTACATGGTCTTGGTTTACCGATGATGCCCAGGTCTCTTGTTTCCTCCACAGCTACATGGTGTCTCCCTGACTGCCTACTACTTTTTTCTGTCCCTATTTGGATTTCCCACCTGGCTAAATCCTGCCTGTCTATTGGCCAAAACAGCTTTATTCATGAACCAATAAGAGAAACATATATATATATATTTACAGCATATCGAAGGACATTCCCCCATCAGAGGCCAGTCTGGTCTACAAGAGTGAGTTCCAGGACAGCCAGGTGTTACGAACAGTTTTCTTGCCAGCCTGGTCCCAGAACCGAGTCAGCCCCAAATAACACACTGTTATATAAAGAGGCGCTGTATTAGATACAAAGCTCCCATCAGCCAGGGCTACAAAAAAGCAAAAAGGAAAGAAGAAAGGTTCCCTCTTCCCAGATATGTCAGGGTTTATGTCAAGTTGACAAAAAACAACCAGTACAATATTATAAAATAAACTATGATCTTCTGATGGGAGATGTCATTCCGTAAATATGTTTCTCATACTGGCTAATGAATAAAGCACTGTTGGCCATTAGGAAAGGAAGATAGGAGGGACTAGGAGACAAGGAGGAAAGAGGAAGTAGTAAGGAGGAGTCAGCATGGAGAGACCGGGGAGACCAGATGCCTGCCCCACTCCCCGGTAAGGTGAAACCACGTGGAAATACATAGATTAACATAAGTGGGTTAATACTTAAGACAGAGCTAGCCGATAAGAAACTAGTACCTGGCCAACAGCATTATATCAAATACAGAGTCTCGGTGTGTTAATTGGGGCTGGCACGGCAGTGGGACAAGACCAGCAGCAGGAGGAAAACCCTACTCCTTACAATTTTCAGCCCCAAAAGTATACATTATATGCTTAGATTCATAGAACATTCCAAAACTAATGTGACAGAAAATGTGTCAGTGGCTGCTAGGGCATGCAGTGGCAATGCATGGATTCCAACCTACATAAAGAACCTTTTGGGGGGCTATAGGTGTATGAAGTGGTTTTTACCTTTTTTGTGTTCATTATAGTCCAATAAAGTTATTTGAAATAAAATCAAAATAAAAGAACCCTGATGGCCAAGGTCCAGCCATCAGAATTTCATTATGTGGAGCCCTTACGCTAATATTCCATTCTAAAGTATTCTAATGTGAAAAGTGGGTAAATGTTGCTCCTGACACCACATTCGGCAGCACATGCTCCTACACATCTGCATTCTTTCCACTCCACGCAGGAAAGACATGATGAGTTCAAGGACCAACTTGAGCTCCACAGCCCCAGAAACAAACAAGACAGCAACTGGGAGACATGGCTCCAGATGAGCTGGAGAGACAGCTCAGAAATTGTTCCCAGCACCCACATGGCAGCTTGAAATTGTAACTCCAGTTCCGGGGACCCAATGCTCTGCAGGCACCAGGACTCAATGCACAGAGGTACAAACAGGCAAAACACCCATATACATAAATGAATCTGTTTATAAGATGCAGAAGAGGCTGAGTTAATTAGACAGAGGGACAGGTAGAAAAGGTCAACGACAGTGTCTTGGGCTGGGCAATGAAAAAATCCCAGCAATCAGGAGGCAGAGAGGCAGGTGGATCTCTGTGTGTTCGAGACCAGCCTAGTCTATAGAGCAAGTTTCAGGACAGCCAGGGCTACACAGACAAACCTTGTTGGGGAAAAAAAAAAAAAAAAAGATAGCATCTTGGGAATTCACTTACCTCCATCAAGCAGCTGAAAAGACCCCACTGCAGTGCCCCACCTGGGAACCCATCTCCACTTTGGACTCTTTTTATGGCATGGTACATGTGGGGCAATAAGAGATGTTGGCACTTACCCCACTGGGGCATTTGACTCTAGGGCAGGACTTTCAAGCATTAAGAAAAGATTTTTTAAAAATGTATTTTGTGCAAATATGTGTGGATGTGGGCGTGACAGGACAGACATGTGGAAGTCCGAAGCCAGCTTGCAGGAGTGGGCTCTTTTCTTCCAGGGGCTGAAACACA